CCGTGTCCCCTGATTGGCCCCTTGGATCACCTGGAGGGGGATAAAAGGGGCAGCATGGGCTGACTCAGGAGAGACCAGTGAGGGACAACAAGGAAGGAGCTTGGCAGAGCAGGCAAGAGCTGGGCCAGTGGGGCAGGAGCAGTGCCCTGGAAGAGCCTGAACGAGCAGGACCTGCAGGCAGCAGTGGGGTCCTCCCAGCTGGGCTCCAGGATCCCCTGCAAGAGGCTGCGGCCAGCAGGAGAGGCTCCCCAGCTCCAGCAAGGATCTGAGCAGCGACCTGAGGGGCTCCCAGCTCTGTTTCCAGCTCCTCCAGTCTGAGGTTAAGCAGCTCTACATGAGGCTGGGGCTCCCAGGAAGGTCAAGGCCCCTGGCAGGCTGAAGCAGTGCCACCAGTGGTGACTGTGGCAGCGGTCCTACCTACCACATGGAAGATCTGGGCTTGAGTCCCAGCTGTGGTGACTTAGGGCGAGTGTGCTAACAAGAAGCAAATCTTGCAGTGGAAAGGGGCCATTGTGTTTTCCCCCCTTTCTCCCCCTCCAGGTACCAAGGCCCTACGTTTCCTTGTCATTTTGCATTTTGTGCCTTTTTTATATTTCACCAACCTGTATTGTTTGTTCTGCTGTTTGTGTTTTATATTTTGTTAACCCTGTTTTATCAATGATTGTAAGTGTCTCACCTTTGTTGAATCCTGCCCCCTCGGGGTGCTGTAGTGTCCACTAAACCCTCTGATTTATGCCTGTTATGTTCCCAGTATTAAAAGGTATATGGTTAAATCCCCGTTTGTGGTCTGGCTCTGCTCTCTAGGGGGAGGAGAGGCCCTACACCTCCCACAGCGCTTGTGCACCTGCTTTGATCCCTTCAATCGGAGAGGGAGTACCTCTTGGAGTACCACCCGGCTTACACATGTATATACCTATCTGCACAGGCACACGTCTGTGTACACCTCTGTGCATTCATTCCCCCTCTGCGCATACACATACATGTGGATAGGATAGTCCTCTGTGCACATGCAAGTGTGTGTCCACCTATACACACACATGCCCAGGCGCCCCCCCAGCCCTGCCGAGATGCTCACCTAGTTCTGGGCTGCAGCCACGGGGCTGCCTGGGCCGGAGCGACCGCAGCATCCACAGGAGCCACGTGGGGAGTGGGCAGGCAGAGCCCCCACTGCACCCGCGCGCCCCCCCTGCACTTGCACACAGTCACACAGTCACATGCACACTCATGCGCTTATACAGACTCATGCATGCACTGACACGTGCACACTTCTGGGCACATGCACACACTCACACACACTTCCCTATGCAGGGTGGGTGCAGCCCAGCCCCAGTGAAGAGGCCGGGAGCCACCTGGGGGGAAGGCGCATAGGTTGTAAGGGGCCGTGGGCAGCCGCCCGGGGCCAGGATCAAGCTCGATCCAGGGATGAATAGAGCAGGGGCTGGGGGATCCCGGGGCACTGCCATTCCTTTCCCACTGCCCCCCAACCAGCACGATCCCTGTCTGGAGAAGGGTCCTGGTGCAATTAATTCCCTGGAGGCGAATCACTGGGGAGAGGCCCGCTGGTGTATGGCGGGCTCCAGGGGGAGGCCTGGGGAAAGCCAGAGCACAAGAGAAGGAGGCACGAAGATTAGGGGCCAGGTTCTCGGCAGCTGCAAAAATCTGTATCCTCCTTCATGGGCTGCACCAGGCTGATCCTGGCTGGAGACGCAGGCTGTGCCGTTCAAAGCTGTTCTGTTTCACCCTTGCGACTGGCAACGGTGGGAAAGAATCGAGTCCTGTACGAGACCACGGGGCAGCGACTTTACTTACAACATCCCTACCGGTATCACCTGCGTGTTTTCCAGTGCATCCCCCTGCCCATCTGTGACTTCTGGGGTGAATCTCTCTGGACCCCAATGCACATTCAACACTGTGGTTTGCAGCCTCTTGGTGCTGCCTCAGTTTCCCCCAAGGCTGCCCCTCGCTTTACTTGCTGCTTGGCTTTCTTGTCCTGTCCTGGCAGCGCCTGAGTGCTGGGAGCTCGGAGCCTCGCCCTGCGCTCACCTGCAGCAGTCGGCTCCACGGCTGGCTTCCTTCTCCCTGTGAACCATTATTCTTGAGGGGTCTGGGGCTGGAGACGCAGCCCTCTGCCAGCCGCTGTTGCCCGGAGGCAGCGGCAGAACCGAGAACTCAACACATCTGTTATTCATGGAGCGAACCCCGGGCACGAGCAGGCAGCTGGCGACTGCGCAGGCACAAGCTCTGTGGGGCGGGGGGAAGAGGTTCTGCTTTAAGGACCTGATCCTGTGTAGAGCTGAGCCCTGGAGGCTCGAGCCGGGTCAATGGGAGTCTCAGGATCCAGCCCAAATGCCTTTGGCGTTGTGCGTGAAGCTCCGGGGCCTGGCCATACCCGAGCAAGGACAAGTTTGTCCTGAAAAACCCACGCACCACACTAAATGCACCCGCGCCCTGACCGTCCGGTGGCTCCAGTCCGGCCTGAGTCAGCAACTGCGGGAAGCAGCAGGACGTGAAATGACCCAGTTGCTTCCTCCCAGTCCCCACCCAGCGCAGGTGTCTCTATCCCAGCAGAGGCCACGGGTGGGATGGGACCTGGGGAGCAGACACGGATGAAAGCCAGGACCAAGACACAGACACAGTACCTGGGGATCCATCAACCCACTTTGGAGCCTGGATACGCTAAGTCGGAACTATCACCGGGGATAACTAAATACAAAACCACATCAATAATTAAATCATGAATAATAATTAAATCAAATAAATAACTACATAATTAGCAGGGAAACAGAGCAGCAGTAGGGAACAGCATGCAGGCGGTATAGAGGTCCGGACCAGCAGGAGAGCTGGCTTGCCAGACCCAGAACATAACCTGAGTCTGCATGGCGCCAGCCCTGATGTGGATATGAAAGTAAAGCTTTTACACCATCTCACCAAAGGAAAGGGATGAGGCTTCCGGCAACAGCGTTTGAAGCACTGGAGCAACCGATAAAAGCGTTTGATGAGTGTTGTGACCCCAGGCAGAAGGAGACAAACTGCTTTATTTTTATTTTTTCCATGAAAGCATGAAGCAGGAGAGGGAGCTGAGAGACACACAACGGCGCCGGGAGCCCTATGGGACTTCTGGGACAAGACATCCCCTAATGAGACACGGACATGTGTGGGACATGCGATTCCAGCTGATGGGAGAGAAACATCTAACCCTAGAGAAATGCCTCCAAATAGCAAGAAGACTGAGCCCTCCAGGGAAAGGACCAAACCAACGAGAGCCAAAAGCACAGAGGTGGACCTAGGAAGCAAGACAGAGACTGCGAACGCGGGCGTCCCAACACCCGACATGTGCACTGCGGAAATGCCAGGCAGAAAGGGAAGGGCCCAGCCTGGGAGCAAAGGAAACAGGAGCGTGGGGCAAAGAACTGGCGTGTGTCCCACCCGCCCTAAAGAGGCAGGGATGGAGGATGTCGAGGCTTCCCGCCTGCAGCTCCAAAGACTCTCGCTGCACCGGCACTGCAGCCATGCGACGGCCTTATTTGCAGCGATGCTACCGGGTCAGTGCAGCCCCAGAAAGCCTCACAGCAGTGCTAGCGGGGCGGGACGTGTCCAGGTGCTGGGATTGATACGAG